GCCATTGTATAAGAACATCCACAACACTTACCTATCATGTCTCTGCTGGCCAAAAACAGCAGCAGTTTTAAACACTGTATTAATAAGCAGCAAAAGAATCCCTAAAAGGATTCTGTTATAATTTCAATTTAATACATGTTAACATTAAAATTTAGCACATTACAACTCTATGTCCACTTACATAATGTCCATTGTTTGTGCCTTTCAGAGTCCTATAATATACCTGCACTGGTGAAACCCTTTATGGGTTAGGCAATTTAAGTTTTTGCTGTTAGCTGGATAATATTAGAACAAATTAGAAGGGCTGTGCACACTTTCCTAATTAGTTAGTAAAGTACAATGGGGCTTCTTATATTCAGTTACACTCAGGGTCATCTTTCCATGTAGCACTTAAGAGACAATAAGAAGAATCTGTTCATGGAGTTAGTTTTATATTGAAAAATAAAGACATGAATTATTTTACTACCTCAGATGACAGTTTGCAGCTGCTTAAATTGAAATAGTAATAAAATTGTATTGCAGTGATGTGATGGAATGAAATTATGAAGGCCAGGCTCAGGGAGATAAACATTTTCTTAGATCACCAGAAGAGTGTGGGAGGAACAGAAGTATGAGATTGGAACCTCCCTGAGGAATTCACACTGTTGTGGCTGGCTGACTTTGGGAGTTGGGGTTTCAGTCTGGGAAAATTCTTGCTGGAGGTTGTAGCTAATAAACATAGCTGGACTGAATTTATATTGTCTCTTGGAGTTCCTTGGGCTAGGCCTGACAAGTGATTAATCAATGAGAAAACTATTATATCTCTTACGACTGTGGCAGTACTTATTCAGACATCTTGGGCATTTATTTTACATTAAGTTTTGAAAGAATCCAAGTTCCAAAACGACTCTGTCCCATTTGGGAAGTGGGAACTAGCAGAGGGCTAGATATTTAAATCCTGGTCCCCCAACATGAGTTTGTCTTCCTATGCTAACTATTATTAAAAGCTCAACAAATTAACAAAAACTCAACAAATATCAGGACTACTTCAGCTGCTAGAGAAGGTAAGAGCAGCTGATAAGAAAGAGGCCATTCTTGCTAGAAACAAGAAAAACTATCCACATTTCTGATTTCTGACTTAATCTTATTAATTACAAAATGATGTTTTGCTGTGTATCTCATTCAGAATGTTCCCTTAATAATTACATTGTAAAATGATTCTTGCCTCCCAAAGCATGTAATTAAAAGGATTATGATAGAATAATAAAAGACTAAGTGAATGTACATAAAAACTTTATTAATTTTAAACATCTAATAATGACATTTGACATGTCTACAAAAGCTTTTTTAAAAAAAAAATTGTGATGTTTTTATTCTAATAATAACTTTTTATCTTTTTATAGCACCTGTTTTTATTCACTTGTTATATTATTTTAAATGTTGTATGCTGCCCAGAGCCGCTTTGTGAGATGGGCAGCTATATAAATGTGATATATAAATAAATAAATAAAATAAAAAGCTTGTGCTACAACAAATTTTTTTAATGAGTTGTTATGCAACTTTGTTGTATCTTCTTATATTCTTTAATTCTATGCAGGCTTTAAATAGGAAGATACACTTCTAAGTAAGCAAGTGATTTCATCACCTAGCCACTGTACGTAATATAATCCTGTTTTTATCTATTCTTCTTCTGAACGTTCTGTGTATTGTTTCTTTTGTGAAACTCTGAATCACAACACTAAATGTATACTTTCTTTAAAACAGTAAATATACATTGTTTAAATGGTCCCCTCTCCAGCCCTGAAATCTACTATGAACGAAAAAGTAAAATGATTGATAACTCGGAGCATATGAATGTAACAGACCCATTAATTTTATGAGATTATAAGATTAGTGTGTTTGTAGTGAGATTTAACTAATGACTTTGCCTAGTAATTTATTCATATTGTTTATTCTGGGATTCAACAGGCACTTGGACTTGATGGCCTCTTCCAACTCTGTGATGCTACCAGAAAAGATGTACATTTATTTTATTGTATTTTACTGTGTTTTGCATTATGTATACGCTGTGCAGTTCATAACACTCTGGGCAGTTCAGAGCAGTTATTTAAGACAGTTCTTCCCAGGAGAAAGAACAGACGGGAAAAAACGCACCCAAAGCACTTGCACGGTAGCAGGCTTCCTCACCTTACAGCCATAAAAAGCCATGCTTCTAAATGGGGCAGGGCCAGGAATAATAATATAACAACTATTTAATTAATTGCCTGGAAAATAAGGTATTGCATTTATTGATCCCCATCTGGATATATCAACCATTCTTTGTCACAGCGAAACATGCATGTGGCTATGCATCCTCCCCATCAGAGGACATAGAAAAACAAAACAAACATACAAAACCAGGATGGACATGGGCAAGGAGCAGCTGTATTGGGAAGTAGAGGATAAGGAAAGATGTTGTAAGGGAAAGAGAAAATAAAGGGAGAAAAACCCTATTTAGGCATTATAAAATGATTAAGTTGAGCCACTCAAGCAGCAGAGATAAGCCTTGCCCATCCCAGGTTTGGCTGGTGACAGCTAATCTTATATTCAAAGATTACAATATGTTGTTAGCAGATATAACCTCCTGTCCATTTGCTCCTTTTCAACATTAAACTCTCCCCTTATTATCCAGTTTGGGGAAGAACTTGCCTTCCTACTAGCTAAGTATTGTATGCTATTTTTAAAAGCATGGCAAAATATTGTTAATTAAAATTACATTTTAAACTGATTTCTTTAAAATTTTTCATATCCATTGGGAGGGTAGTGTACACTGAGGCGTACCACTGAAGTTTTCAATCTGTATTTGCCCTCAGCTGATCCTGAAAATCACTTGCACAGGAATCTACCAGAAAATCCCAGGACTGTAGGCTAGACTGGGAGGTTTAAAAAACCCCCTGAAAGAAGGCAATCCCAAACCATGTTCATGTTGCTGCCAATAAAAATTTACTCTGAGTTTAGCTCAACTTGAGGGATTCTTTACTGAGACGGTGGGTGTGCAACCCTTCCTCATCTGAATCAGGATGAGAGCAAACACCCATGGATTAAAACTCCTCCATCCTGCATGGTAGTGTCTCAGTCTAGCTTCAGTTGAAAAATGAAATATGTAGATAAATCTCTAAAATAGTTTTGCCATTCCTCAAATACTTTGTATGTTTTGCTGGTCTGATTACATGCTGAGGAATTCCAATTGCATGAATTCTGTCTTGGTACTGATGGGACAAGGAGAGGAAAGAGTTGTGGAAAAAGCCGAATAGGAAGAAAAATGGTCTTATCAGAGGTTGCTGAGATACATCAGTATCACTGATTTCTCCTCTGTCAATATAGTCTATATTCTCAACATGAAAAATGCAATTACTTAGTCTGTGTTACAGGTCCTTGTCTTTTTTCTCATGAAATATTGTTCCATAATTTCTGCATCTCAGAAGAAAAGCTAGATATTTCTTTAAAATGTTCTTTCATGTTGGAATCTGCTGTTTGGAGTGTAAACTAATACAAAGGTGTAAAACTGAGTTTGCACAATGTACAAGATCATAATGTCATTGAATAATGCATTGTTGCTGAGTGTCGGGTGAAACAAACTAGTTTGTGGTTCAATGTTATGCAAATGTTGGCAAGTTGATTAATTCAGCAAACCATGGAACAGCTAACCATGGGTTAGCATGTTGTGCAAACAGTCCTAATCTAATAAAACATAAGAAACCAACATGAAAGTGTCTCTTGCAAGTCTAGCTTACAACTTTAGGATTTCCTGATCATCTGTCATCCAAGTACAGTACTAATGAAGTCTGATCTGTCTTAGCTTTTTCAAGGTCAAAATGCGCTGCCTCTTGCTGTGACTGTACACTGTATTTTAAGAGAATGTGTTGGATTTGAAGTGGTTTTATAAAGCTGGGGGTGGGTTCGGTTTGTTGCTAGGGGAATGGAAGAATTCTAAGGACTTTTTAAATAAATTTCTAGACTTCTCTTAAAAACTACAGCTCCCAGAGTTCTTGGGTTAGCAAGATGATTCCGTCCATGATTCATTTTGAATCAGAAATAAGCAACTGCATATTACACTAAATGCATCCAAAATCAATGGAAATCTTGTCTTAGAGAATGAAAAAGAAACAATTGGGATTTAACCAATTACGGCTGCAATCTTACGCACCTAAAAGGTTTTCCAGATGAACGCCTTATTTAGGAAAAACAACGATTTTGTGGAATCATAAAGGCTCTTAAATCTTTGGCTTCGTTTTTATGTAAAATATTTGTATCCATTTTTTAATCTAAAGGACGCTTAAATGGGCTGTAATTTAGGAAAGCGTATGACACATTTGTTAGCTTTTAGTATGAGAGATGACTGTTGTTGATCCGCTCTTACCTGCACATCAATTGGGTTGAACACCTGGAGGCTTACTTCAGAGTAAATCCGCAAAGGTTGCGGAACGCATCTTTGCGCTCCTCAAACAACCTGAATGTGAAGCACCTCGTTTTGCTACAGAGCCGGCGGGGCAAACAAAGCCTTCGTCTCCCGCTCACGCCACTTTCGCGGCTCTCCTTTGTCTCC